GGTGCCGCTCCGGCTTCCCCTCCCACTGCTGACACACGCCTGACATCACCACCTCTCCCGGCAGCGACGCCTCCCGACCCACCCTTTCCCCGGGATAAAGGGGAAACCCAACCGAGGGGAGAACACAAAGGGGGTTCTACCGAGGGGCTGCACGCCTTCAGCGCACCCTGAAGCCTTGCAGGAGGCTAAGGGGGGAGCTAGCACGGAGAGGGGGCTGCAGCGGGTGATTAGCCCCCGAGTCCTGGCCCTGCCTGCGTTGACTCATGCAACAGGTTCGACCAGAAGCATCGTGCGTGTTCCTCGCTCCCACGCTCGTAAAAGCGATGGGCGTGCTTCAAACATGACCTCTGGAAAAAGAACTGCCTCGCTGCCTCTTATCGGGTTGGGGGGGATGACTCCCCCCATCCCCTGTATCACTTCCTTTGGGCTTTTCCCCTCCGGACGCGCTTGGCATTCCCGAGGGCTGCGGGAGAAGGGGTCACTTGTCTTAAGGGCAGTGGGGGTGAAGAGGGTCACATCTGGCACAGGATAAAACGCAGCTGCCCTGCCACCTTGATCAGCCTTCTGCCCAGGCTGGGGGATACACCAGCACTCCTGCCATGAGGAGCTGCCTGTGCAAACCCAGCACCAGCCCCCGGTGAGATGCATCCCTGAATCACCTGTGGTGCCGAGAAGGAAAAACTAAACCCCTTTGCATGTGTAAGGAAACCTGCATGGAATTGCCTCAGGATGTGGGTAGAGCTTTGCCCTGTTTCCTCCCCACCCTGTGAGATCCATCCCAGGCCAACAAGGAGCTGACAGGCACCCCAAGCGTTTGCAGCCGGGTATATTCAACACAAAGACATTTGCCTGTTTGAAATCCTGCTCACAGGACATATTTTGTTCTTACAGACTTAAAAGTGCTCCGTCCTTCAGCTGTCTCACTTCAGAACAATGTAAGCTCCTTAGCAATCAATTCCTTCTCCCACAGTTGGGTCCTTAGAACAAAAGGCCAATGGACTAGTAATATTTATGTAACTGCACTTCAAAATAATTATGAATGAATGTATTAATGAGTTTCTGCCTAACGTGTCTGGATTCATGAAGACAAAAGGAAAAAAGGCCTCAATACAAACAAGGGGGAAGGGGAAGAAATGACAAAGAATAAAGCAGAGTAAGCCAAATGAAATTCTATAAACTCCTTCCAATAAAATTCTTCTAAATTGTGGTCAAAAGGCTATACTCAAACTGTCACTGCACTAGAGTTTTCCTGCTCCCTTTAAATGCTCCTTAACTCTGTACAGACATGTTTCTAAATCATTCCTAATTTCAATCTCACCTGAACTACATGCATATTAAAAAGGCAAAAGAGTTGTAAAAAAAAACCAACAAACAAACAAACAAAAACAACCCAAAGTCTGAAGCCTTTTTTTTTTGAGGCTGGAAGAACAATTGGGAATAATCACAATGTTTTTGTGGAAGTTTTGCAATGTATGTTCCCTCTAACCAGATGATTAGGTCCACCTGAGCTAATGAATGTTTTCTTAATAGCCTTCCCATCCATTTAGACTGCCAGATCTTTAAAGGCTCCTGAAAACTCCCACTAAGTGTAGCTGAGGCTGCCTGTCTGACTCTACAGGCAGAGTTCAGCCTGGCCAAGGTTTAATTTCTGTGTCTTTTTGGACAAGGAGGTGCAAAACTCTCTGGTCACACCTCTGTGCACCCGCCAGACTCCTGCTACCCAGCTACTGCTTTTTCAGACCAGGAGTTTTAAGCTTCGTCCATTTCAGCTGTGATCCTCTCTGAGAGACTACAACACACTGAAGAAAAAGATATCACCCTCCTAACCCTCTTTTCCCATACAAAAAGCTGTAATTGTAGTCTAACAAGACACAAAACAGACACAGACAGCTTAAGTAGCGAGACACCTTAATAAAAGCAGCAGCTGGGTTTTTACCTGGCTGATCTCGCATCCAGTTTTGAATACAAGGCAAGTTTGTCTGGGCCTGACAGCAGGAAAACGGCCCCATCAGTATTGCAGGCAGGAGCTGGCATAGCCCTTGCCTTGAGAGACATGGAAGAGGGCTGCTCAGGGGCCCTCTGCTTAATATTCCTATCAGCATGATGCATTTTGTTTGAAAAACATATTTTTTCTTCAAGGAGGTAAAAATCCCCTTGAAAATCCCCTTAGAAGCTGGCTGCAGGGGTTGCATGTCCAAACACTGCTGCAGCAGCCCCGGGCACCACACGTGCCAGGGTTGTGCCTGGGATGTTTCCAAGCTTGATGGCAAATTCCGACCCAAGAGCTACAGATCTCTCCATTTGCACACACTGGGTAAGGCCGGTGTGGAAGCACAAACCATGCTGCAGCATTCCCAGCAGCCTTTCCCTCGGGAAGCGCATTCAAAGCACCTCGTGGTACGTGCGGTGCCTATAAGGAGGTTTGCCAACCAGCACCCCAGGAACGGGCTGGGAACGGCAATCTCCAGACAAATCTGGCAATTCAGACCAAGGAAACATAAAAGATTCCTGCCCACAGGAATGCACCCCACCCCGACGAAGGAAATTACCACCCTGGCGGCAACACTGGAAGAAGGGCTGTGTTTCAGCCCCTCCGCTGCAGTTTGCAGTCTGGCACACTACCTCCAACTGAAATATCATTAGTATTATTATTATTACTACTACTATTATTACTGTTACTATTACTATTATTACTATTAATCTTTATTATTTTCCTTATTTTTTTATTGCTATGCCTGACCATGGAGGGAAGCATTTGGGTTGGTGGCAGGAGAGCCAAACTGCCCCACCTGCAGCAACTTCTAAGAGAAGGAGGCAGACGGCTCCTACCTGTGCCAGCATAAATTGGCAGAGCTCACCTAGAGGCATCCTTCATCTCTTGCATATTAAGCCATTCCTCTAAAAAAACCTCTTCAGTTACATGTTTTTCTAATATATTATGCCTGGTTCTCACTAGCATTGGCATTAATGAGATCTCTCTCAGCACCAAACTGCCTCAAAATGTGTGTTTTGGGGCATCCTTGCACACATCTGGAAGGAGCTGAATTTCAGAGCAGTCTTGTAACAGCTCTGTGTTTATTTTAAATAATTATGCAATCTTAGTATCTTATGTTTAAATCAATGCCTTCCACTTGGTGAGAAATAAACACTGTAAAAGAAATCTCTGCCTAATGAGATCCACCTGCTGAGAAGCCTGTACAAATGCTGTTGTGTTCTGAACCATTCAGCAAATCAGAACTGCAAATTTATATTAAGTAAATATCCTGCAAGGAAAAACTTTCAGCATCAGCTCTTAGTATATGTAGAATTCAAAGGAAAATGTCACAATACCTCCTTCCAAGCTCAGGAGTGATGCATCCCAACAAAGAAAAAGTCAGGCAGAAA